TTCGAGATATCGCAGTATGTTTTCATGAAGGGAACTACTCACAAGGTTTTGGGCTGTCGAAGAGTTTTCAGCAACCTTGTGAGTAGTTTACTTCATGAAGACATACTGCAATATCTCGAATATTGTACCAAATGAAACATGAGGCGGCCTGTGTGCAGCACATTCAGTTGTAGAACATCATAAACGGGAGATTAAGTTGAGTCTGTTATGAAAACCAAATTGATTTGCAAATGAGTGTATTTCTCGAAAAGAGGAGTACGTTGTTTTCTGTAGCCAGTTGACTTCAGGTGTTAATTTGATCCGGAATAGTTTCAAAAATACACCATGAAGTTGATGGCAATATTGTTGCCTGATTATAGTACGTTCTGGTAGAGTTTTTCTTTTTCTCCTCTCCAGGAAAAACGTCGCGGAACTTTTCGAAATTCCGAATGGCGAAGACTCAATCGGAATTGTGTCCTTCGTGTGGAACCGCATACAAGAAATGAGGGATGATATAAGGAAGTATTCTGACGTAAGCAAGATTGTTTGATTACGGTTCTTAGCGATGACAGCTTCAGTTGTGCGCTGAATCCTTTGTGAACCTTCCATCACTTACAAGGCATCCCCAGCGGTGTAAAAAGGGTACCGCTGCGAAACAAATCACTTTTTTCACAAAAAACAAGACCACTGTAATTTCAGAATAACTTAGAAAACACGTATGTAAGGACAAGAGCGTATTGTGTGGCCAAACAGGTCTGTCTTGTAAAGATAAGTATACCACCCTGATGACATATCCAGGCACCACATAATCTCTGACACATCTAACCAGCTACTAGAAGGACCAACTTACTTTCTGCTCGACAAACGTAAATGGTATGGTCGCCTTTTGTTGAAATCTGTCAGCGTATGAAGTAGTGTGAGAATTTAGCAGTAACCAACAAACTGCCAAATTAACCACTGCTTTGCACAAAATTACGCCCATAAGACCCATATTCTTACTAAGAAGGAATTACCGAACCTCTTTACGCCAGCGTCACTCTCTAAGTAGCTGTGAGGAGGAAGGAATCTTCCATCTGAGAAGTGGTCGCTCGAGGAGCTAGTCAATATGTGAACACCTGATGTGGTCTCCATTAGTGGAGAATGAGTGGCGTTAGATCCTGCTTAAGTAAGAGTTGATCAGGCTACTGACAAGCTGCTCGGGGCCAGACGGATAAGTGTTTAACTACGGGCCGGAAGGTTATGAGTTCGAAACTCTGAGTCTCGTGAGTTACGCACTACTGATTTTTCGTCGACAGGAATGAAACTGCTGTACGGTATTCTTAGGCTTTTCAGTATAGACTGGCTTCACATACAGGACGAAATCTCTATTAAGGAACAATTGTGTGTATTCACTCGTGCGACATATTGTGCTGAGTGACATTTCCTGAACATTCGGCTTGTTGATTAACAACATTTATATTCCTTTCCTTGTCAGAAATGAGTGGATACAGGTAGCAGTTCTCATAGCTTTAGCCGTATTTCACCCTGTGACCTTTAGCACTTGACACGAAATTCTGTATCTACTTGGAAAGAATAAATTCTGTAGCTCAAGGCCAACTCAGTCACCTTAGAGTGAATGCAGTGTTTGCCACGGTATCCCATACGAGGAGCAACAAACCCCACACTGTCAACTATATTGTAGTTTGTCGTAACAATAACCTTTGTGATGAATTTGCTCAGCAGTTGAATGACTGTTGATTTTCTGCTGCAATACCATGCATGAAGTTGACCATGGGAGAAAATTACGTTTAACCTAAATGAGTGCAAATCAGCTCGCAAACCTTTCAAGAACACTCTTGGTAGGAAAGATTGTTCTTACTCGCTCTCCAGGAGGCCTTGTATTGACGGCCTTCAAAGTGAATTTGGGTAGCAATTGACTCTTTATCATAAAACTATTTTCATATTCCAAGCGTGTTGGTTGTTACAGTGGGATATTCTCGCGGTGATTATCTATCACTTTGGCATCATCATTTTAAAGTTATTTTCGGTCCGCAGATCCTGACTGATTATATTCCAATAGTATCTAACCATTGATTCGCCACTCACCCAACGTATTACCCTGAAAAGAAGCATTTTTCACACTGTTAGCCAACTCATAAACAAAATAAAAGTTCAAAATTTTCTGCGCATTTGGGAACCCAAGTGAAGACACAGTTCAAGTATGGGGTATTATACCATCCTCAAATGTTTTGTTTCTTTGCCAAATTTATTGGCTGGGGGTTTGTTACTGAAGTGGTTTTTTGACAAACAAACATTCAGAAGCAGAATGCAGATTCAGCTGCAAATTGGATCGGAAAATTGGAGCAACATTTCAACACATTTTTAGGGTCTGCTTTGATTTAACCGATGAATACTTCCACCTTGGAAATGTCAATGGTTTTCACGTAAAGTCTATATAAAAATAATTTTGCAGGGGCCATGTTCACCGTAGGACCCATGTATGTACTTCACTTCCAGAAAGCTGACGACACACTACAGTCCTCTGCTCACCGATCCTGTTATTTGTGTGTGGGGATAAATCCACATAGCACTAAGAATCCAAACTTAGTGGGTACATAAAGCAAGGTAGCTGCATAAAAATAGTACGTGCTTGAACAAATTGACGACGTTCGTTTACGAGACAGGTTACATGGCTCATTTAGGACAAATATGCCGCTACGTGCAGTTAAGCAGCTATACGAAACGGGAAATATTCTGTTCGTTTGTCTACATTCCTGTGCTACATGGCTGGTATCCAAAACGGATACGCCGGAAGCCTGAGTACGGAAAGTAAACCACGTGCAGTTTGATCGGGGCCGAATATTGTGTATTGTGCAAGCCACTGATGTTGACGTCAGTCCGAGGGAACAAGATCGGTGGACAAATACAGAAACTTGTCCAGATGTATTGTCGGCTTGAACATAATGCCACAGCACCATATCCCTGGCCTCATTAATCACTTTCTACGGGTTACCGCGAGATTTCGCCATTCCACTGGATAAACGGCCATAGTACTTTTCTATGAGGCTATCGATAATTGCATCATTTAGGTGGGAACCGAGGGAATCCGATTCTTGCTTGATCGGCCTGGTGAGCTGCCACCTGCTCAAGCCTGATAGGCGTCTCAGAACTAGGTTAAAAGTGCGCCATTCGAAATGAGCACACTATACGTGTATAGCCATCTGGATCGGTGGAAGTTGCTAACGCGCTTGCCTGGACAGAATCGAACTTGCCGGTCCCTAGCATACATATGCTAAATGACCACTGAGCCCCCGCTGAATAGCCCAGGTTAACCTCTTCTACTTTCGATCCGCATCCATCAAAGAGGAGTTCATCGCGTTTTCAAACCAACCCCTGCCAGCTCTACTGTTGTGCTATGAAATGACGACGGTGGCAGTCCGAATACCGCTTCACACCTTAACCATTCGTTCCTACCTAATTGACGCAGTAATCAACATCCTTATGCAAAAGTATTATACTAATTTATCCGGTGAAAGTGGAAATTTTGCAGTAGCCTGTGAAAACTGATGGACGAGGTCACTGACTTATCGCAGAGCTGATGTTGTGCCATTATGTTCAGGCTGGCAATGTATCTGAACAAGTTTCTGTTTTTGCTCATCCATCTTGTTCCCTCGGACTTACGTCAGTATCAAAGACCTGCACGTATCACTTTATTCAGCTTTACCCAAGCTACTGTGCACAAGATCGGTTGATTTTGAACGGACAATCTGTTTTTACATCAACTAGTAAAATACTGCGTGATTATGTGATTGCTGAAAATAGAAGAGCACTGTAACCACTAACATCCAGAGTAATGCTCTTTATATAGCTAATAACCCATCTGACTCGCACTCGTTTCCAGGTCGCAGTGCATTTGTGTCCAAAAACTTACGATTTCTGGTGTGTGATGTTTGGTTTGCCGTGAGCGTCCACATCATGATACTCTTTGTGTGGTTTTATAGGCAAAATAGCCTCTGCTTCATGGTTCATGTGGCTACAGCGTTGCTGTGAGAGGAATTTTGCTCAAGTGGACGCGTTTCAGCCGAATCTGTGTATATCGACAAGTAGGTCTGCGGCTAGCTTATTCGACATGTTGTCAGTGTACATGAAAATATCAGTCCGTCTTCATCTGTCTGGAGAAAGCAGACAGTGTATTTTCCTGTGATGGATTCCAGAGCTTATGACAATATTAAGTGTGCGGGTAGTCTGATATGAGGAAATCGTTTTCAGTATGAAGCTTTAGGAGCCATAAAACTCAAATAAGGGCTGTCAATCTTATGGCCTTCCGATGGCACAATCAATTCGTCCACCCACATTCTGTTTTAGGTCCTCCATCGAGGTATAGGTTAGGAGCTCCCTGAAGTGTGCCTCTGTTAGGACACATATACACATACATGTCACCGATACGGACCACACACGGCACCTGTTGAAATTGGTTCCATCTTAAGAAGAGATTCCTTGTGAGGCTCGAAAAATTCCGAATAAATTCTAAACCACCTGTCCAATTTTCCTAAAAATACTTTGTTTTTCTATATTCTTATATATAACTGGTCTGGTTCAAAATATTCTTCTCACAACGTAGGCAGCAAATGTGGCGTGCTACTAGGGTCATAAACTTTCTTTCCTGACGGAACTTCCTTTCCTTTTTCAGTGGAACTAAAATCACTCTTGTTTTGCGTATCACTAACAGTTTCACCCTTCTTCAGGGCGCTCGCTTTGTCATTCTTATATTTGTCACCAAGTTGTCACACTTCCATCACGTTATCCACCAAGCATAAATTTGCGTATGCTGTCACATTGATTGCCGCCAACCCTTTTTGTTGAGGGTGATCCAGCAATAGAAGTAACAGCTTTGGTCTCGTAAGCCGATGAAGCTCATAGTCGATGTTCCAGACCGGTGTGTCTGCGTCTCCACGTTTTTCCATGCATGAATTACCGAAATAACTGATTCACTTCTAATTTAAACATCATTTTTGATATGGAGGCGAAAATTATTAACTCAGTTGATTAAGTTGGTGAATGTTCTTAGTGCTTGGCAAATTAGTTGCAAACATTTCACCGCCACTGCAGCTAATACTATCAATGCGTAGCGATGTTGCGAATCATCGCCTTTCACCTATGTAGACGCATCGCTGCACCATTACCTACCCATGCCGCTCCTAAAGGAATCGCTAAACTCAGCAAATGGTGAAGCTAACAACAACAAAGCGTACTCGACAAAACGTTTGCGTTTGAAATTTTGATTTCATGAAGGGGGAATGATTAAGCAAGATTTCATAACAACAGGCTTTCATAGAACACTTAAGTTTGTCCAGTGTCGTTACGCTTGGAAAGGCATTCGAAACAGAATTACCTATTCCAAATTTGCTAGTTGGATTCGCAGGTGCACGAAATACTTGAAGTAATTTTCCAGTTACAATGTACTCTTTATATCAACAATAGCTGACAGACTTACTTGCTTACCTACTTTCCAACTGGAATGAATATTCCTTCAATTTTTGGGCACAGGGACATCTTATTTCTCATGAGCCATTCAGCATATGGGTGGTCATCTGGCGACTGTCCCCCAATTCTCAAATTTGTAGCGTTGACTATAGGCACTGGATCAAATGATGTAGACCTTACACCCCGAGGGACACCTTAGGACTTGTTATTACGTGCATATGCCACGAAACTTTCGTCATACACGGGAATTTCTCTTGTCATACTGATTAGATATTATCAAAAATACACGTCAGGGGTAAGCATTAAAATTAAACCATAGGTTTGCTTGAACTTGCTTTCCACATCTAAAAATAAACCAGTTGTCATTCCTGTTGAAGATCGGCTGGATCAAAATTACCAGGGTTCTCATGTTTCTTTTGTGGAGTTTGCCATTTTACTCATTAGAGCAGCGGTGCGGTTCGCGGCAAGAAGTAAGGTTAGTTCTCTATGAAACAGATGCATACACGAGGGAATATTTGGGAACGCCCTTTTATATCAGGTCAATAGCATCCAATTTGCAACAATTCAAAGTGTGCGTACCATTCTATGCTAACTGGACACGTAAAGCATTCAGAAATTATCCCTAGAAATGGAAAACTGCATAAACATTAATAGGATTTCTTATTAGTCTAGAGGAGACGGATTAATCAGCAAGAACTAAGGATATCAATCCGCATAAGTTGAATCATGAGTTAATTCCAATCAGCTTTCTGAAATTCTCCGCACGAAGAATGCTCATTTTTATGTGGGATTATTAAAGTCAGATAACCGAGCTTTAAGAGAACTACCCAGTATATGGAAGATCATATCGCATTGAACAAACTTGTTAAAGTACCGCGGTAAAGTCTGACTCTTAAGTGTGGAAACCGAATCCTGCCCTTTAGGAGTTGAGGGCCTACGGAAGGAAAAAATGCAGGAAGTACTAGATATCAGTGAAGTCCTTCAACTAATTCTTTCAGAAATTATTTTCGGCTAAATCGGGAAAACAAGACTCTGTAATACGTGAACTACTGTCTTGTTACTTAATCACGCTATGGGGAGAAATTATGATATGAATGTTGTGGGGTTTGTGGGATTTGTATTATTCACATTAGCATCACTCCTCCCGTCGTGGCGCATTTATTCTGGCGAATTCACACCAAAAGGGGGGAAGTACTGGACTCGAGCTCCGCTCTTATTAGAGCGATTCAGCAGTGCATATCTAATGGCCGTGCCGGGGTTTGAATCCCGGACACCTGAATTGCGAGATGAACGTGTTACCACTATTCCACCAAACGCACATTGACGCATCTGAATTGTTATGTCTGAACTGGCGAACGGGCGAACGTGTTCACGCTTGAGCGATCTGATTGGTATGCCTGACACATCATCGGTGTGACAACCAGCAACTGTCCTGGTTGTGACGATCGATTGGCCCGCTTGTCAGAACTTCCCAGTCAAGTAGCCCCACCGACGCTTGACAACTTTGTTGATGCATGTTGTGGGGTTTGCGGGGTGTGTCCAAGGTACGCTGGTGGAATAGTGGTAACAAGTTCGCCTCGCATGTCAAGTTGTCTAGAGCTCAATCCCCGGGGCGGTCATTAGATATGCACCGTTGATGAGCTCTAATAAGAGCGAAACTCGAGTCCAGTGCTTCCCCCCTTTGGTGTGGATTCACCAGAAAAATTGCGCCACGACGGGAGGACCACTGTTCAAACGAGTGATGTGAATGTGAAATTTTGATGTTATCACACGAACAACCTATTTCGTTTTCTAAAATTTCACTAATATTTAATCTTCTGAACGTCATAGCGAATGAAAGAACTCCAAACGGATGTTGCCAGACTGTCCCAACTACAGACCTCTCTTCATGAAAACGAGCACTCCTCGAAACAGCGAATTCAGTCCTTGGAGGAACAACGCGCTTCTGACGGGGCCATAATCGATGGTCTCAGAGCTGAACGCAACCAGGTTGGTCTATTAAATGTAGATGTTTTGTCTCGATGCGACTATGAGACACCAAGAATATGGTCAGTTATAGTTAAAATGACCCTGCTGACTAACGAGGATTTGACTAGAGCGCAAACTCGCCCATTTTCAAGGAAGGCCAGCTCCAAGCAGATTGCGAAGCAGCCACTGTGGTAAGAATAGCATAATGGAAAGCGTAGTTCCATGTATTACATCTAGGAAACTGTTCCATCAAGCTTTGTTGCACTTATGAGTGACCGTACATTCTACTTGAGGAAGTGATCTACAGACAGGTGTGCTCGTATCTTTATCTAGCATTTGTAAAGCGAAACTTTCCAGAACTATCCACATAAGAATGATAAAATACTGTCCTAAGAATTCTTCTGCCTATTTTTTTGCCTAAACAAGGTCTCCTAAAAACCTGATGAGGTATCTTTGGTCTCTGTGAACTCTGCCAAATGCCATCGAATTCGTGTAACAATTTTAACCCCTTCCTCCCCAAAAATATGCCTTCAGTGCTAGACACGTTCTGGTGCTAACCTTAGAAGGGTTAAAAGGTTACAAGAAAGAATAATCTCTTAGTGATCTCTTTGGGGGCACCACAATATTCTCCAAAGGAAGTGCCAAACAGACCAATTTAATAAAGGCTTAAAGCATGGTAGGAAAATTTCAAAACAGAACAAACCTAAATTTGTTATTTTCGTTCAAACGAAGCTTTACTAGATGTGAAAATGGTTCCCAACCAGAGCCCATTTGTCCTGTCGCTTTCGTTTGTTTGTTGGTCTGTTCCGATTAATATGCTGCATGACAGTCTGCTTCTTACTCACCCCACTTTCAGTTACACGATTTGCTGTGCAAGTTTGCGCTTGCAATGAAATTTGAGGAGCCCATTGCCGAAACAGAGACGGATATAGTAGGGCAAACTTTGATCGGTGAGTACAGAGATGCATGTTGAAACTCCACCTCGATTTTCTGCGTTATTTCCGCGTCGTTTCGTACTTAATATTTTCTGCAATGATATGTATAGCGCTTTTTTCCCTGTCACTTACCACTTTCTTCCAAATGAGAATTTCGAAGCAACCATGTAATGTGATTGAGGTGGTAATATTTTCAAGGGAAGAAAAATCTAATTCAATCACACGCACAGAAGGTCGGTCATATTCATCAAAATGTCATTACATAACGAATCATTTGATAGAAGACACCTCGAATCTCGATGAATACCATTAGAGTACACACTGAACTCAAAAAACAGTTAACTATACGATACTGCAAATAGTAGAGTACCAGGATTCTTTGTTAAAAGTAGCACTTATCTGACCGGTTGAAGTCATTGTCAGTGGCAGATGTTGTAGATTATCGCACACCGTCTCTTATGCTGAATATGTGAATCACCAACTTTTCTGTATGTGATAGAACACTGGCCTCAAAGGCTCAACACATGTTTGCTAGTTTGTGTCACTCGTGGTATCGAAAAAGGATTTTCACTCGGTACCGAGGAAGGGTTATGTGCGCTAGGCTACAGTAAGCGCTGTATTGCTGAGCAAGCAAAACGCGCCTCTGCGCACAGATGATGTGAAGCGTATTCGAGTTTTCGACGATCTATATCTGACTAGTGTTACTGGTGTCAAATGCCATCAAATAATTCGTAACGAGGCGTTTGTGCACTCACAGAAAACATCCAGCGCCATTAGCTGCGCTACCTCAACCATGTGCTACACATTCCAAAACACTGTCTACCCAGAGGAGCGTTGCTGTCCGTGCCTCCTTCAGAATGGCGCAAACCGCAGGGTGGACTGCGTGTAACTTGGTGGAAGGGTATGAAGGATATTACGAAGGGTTTGGGTGTTGTTGTTGCTGTCCGCCTCACAGGATGGGGTCTCCGTGACCCCCCCCCTTGCGCTTGACCGGAAACATTGCAATAAAAAGCGGCCGATCGATGTAAGTGGAATTCGTGCTGTCAGTTTATTTGCAGTTTGTTTGATTGAGCCATAATGCTTGTGATAAGGCAGCACCAGTTTTAGCCCCCATGCACCCTATTCCCTCTTTCCAATTTAAAGCCATAAACGAGTTCGAGATTGTCCAGTGACTAAGGATTGAACCTACTGAACCTCAGCATCTCCACTGCTCCTGTCAAGACTGCCAGTACCTTAGCTCACATGGTCTGTTTAGGTGGCATGGCAGCCAGGTAGCAAAAGGGCAATGATGATATGTGATGTTTGCTCCTTCGTCAGGCACTATCTGGTCCATTGTTTTACCTGAGATTCCTCGAACCTCTAACACGCTTCTTCAAAACTAATTGGATGGAAGATTTAGACCTACCGAATGATATCCGTTTCCTCTAAAAACTTACAGTACCAGTTGGAGCTTTCCGTTTCTAACTCCTGACTGAAAGCATGCTTTAAATGACCATATCCTGTCAAATTTGTCCGAAGTTTTTCGTGTGCTTCATCCAGCATTCACTTCAGAACCCCTTCCGATTTTACCAGTTCTCCATAGACTTTCCAAATGCTTCATAAAACGGAGACAACGTGTGCATTGGCGTTACATTTGATCATTTTAAATACACCGATTAATACCATCATCAAACCGAACAAATCCATCTTTTACCACTGATCTTTTGGTCAAGTATCTAATTACATTGTATGGTTTCCTCCAACAATCCCTGGTTGTAATCGGTCCGTCCCCATGTGCTGAAGAATAGGATTCCAGCACGGCGAAAACCACACGGATGCTCCGTGTTAGTTAGTCACGATGAACTAAAGGTGACACGCGAAACATAGCGAATGCTTAATTCAGGGAGCAGTACGAGAGAATTAGGCTAACTGCTAGTGTCCTTCTCACTGAACAAACTTTACTCCGCGTAGCCTATGGTTCGCGTAAATTCGATAATAAACCCATTTGAGTCAGTGTGATCTCCAGTCAAGAGTTCTCTCGGGCTTTCCTTATACAAGAGTCACAACAAACCTCATATCCATCATATGTTAATTTCAAGGCGCTACATTTTCTAGGATTTTAATCCCGATTTGAAACTTCCTAAATCCCACGCAAGGATAGGTACAGCTTTTTCATGTTTTCCAGACACCAAGTGGGATATGTGGAGAGAGGATTAATCAGGGAGATGACTGGCTTTTTCATTTATATACTGAGTGAGGCGGCATCATGTGGTGCGTAACAACGATCAGCCAGTATGTGTAGCTGGGCCAGTGGAAAACAGAGCGGCTGAATGTTACTTTCGAAGCCATGTATATATTTAGTGAATTCCGCGATTTTCTCTGAAAGAATAAATAATCCATGTTTGTCACAAGCACAATTCTTTTCTTTGGGTTCTTCATTTTTTTCGAAGAACACCTTGCAGCTTTAAAAACACGACTCCCCATTACAAGTTATGTTGTGGTAACTTGTGGTCGCTTCCACGCATTTGTGGGAAGAAGTATCCCTCTTGGTTTTCAAATGCGTTGTATCCCTTTCCAGCTCGAATAACGCAACTACAGCAAGGAAATACAGAGAAGCTGGCCAAACAACGGATTCATATTACAAAGCTTCAGCGAGAACTGCGGGAGTCCAAAGAGCTTGTGGAGTCTTTGGAGCTTCAAGTTTCAATCATGAAGCGTCGATTAGCTGAGGCACAGGAACATCGTTTCCAGAATATCGCTCCTGCTAGTCAGACCCCAATGACTTTGGCAGCCTCTGAGAAAGAGAGAAACCGTTTGGTTAAACAACTGAAACAGACAAGAGATGATGCCGACAAACTACGAGAGGAGATTGTGCTACTTAAAGCTCGTCTGTTGGAATCAAGTCAAGAAAAGGTAATACACTTATTTGCACGCCAGTTTGATTTTGACGGGAGACTCGCTTGAGCATTGGCTGGATCTCTCGTTTATGATGTTTTTAAGGTAATCGTTTTGTTCTATAGATAATTTGAATGTTAAAATTACACTCCTTTTGAAACCTCAGTGCCCAAAAATTGGTTAGGTGACTTCTTGTTGGCGTCCCTAGTTTATGGACAGATTTGCTCGTCTGGTGTGCGAAATTCCATATGGCCATCTGTTTTTTACAGGGTTCCTTTAATCGTCCAAGCTGAAACATTCCGCTTTCAATATCAACCAAAATAGTGGTTGAAACTGTAGAAACTGAAACTGTAGAAGCCGAATTCACAGAAGAACACGTTGCTTGATGAGAAAGTTCAATTTCTGGTAAGGCCGCGGGGTGAGCTGACCGGACTGAGCGTTACTAAATAAACGAACATCGCGTCTGTTCATCTGTGGAGAGCCGACTATAGAACAAAAGAAGGCATGCCCTGACTGAACAGAACGTGAGACAATCATTTATAGGTTGATGCTTCACACTGCTTCAGGGAGATCCTAGCTTCTGCGGTCACCTTCTAAATACGGCTTTTACAATAATCTTATCCCAATCAAACGATTATCTCAGGCTACTATGCATTAGGGTATACACTACTAGTCGGTGGAGCAGCATGTCGAGGGAATTATATAAGAGTTGCAATACCGTCCGCAAGACACATTATGATATTTGCTTCTGAGCTAAATTTGACATGCACACTGCCCACGGAATCAACCATCGATCCCACAAGCCCATATTTCTATTGTTTTTTTATCGTATTTAGTATTCACTGTTGCCTTGTAATCTTACAATGAACAAAAATAGCACATTTGAGCATATGGATCTTCTTTATCGCTATGGAAAGAAGAAATCCCGTATGCTACAAGAAATACCAGAGTAAGCAATCTGCTCACTCCAGTGCAAAGGGATTCGTTATCCCCACGTACGGGAAAACTACAGGTCTAAGGGGGTCTCTCTTAAATAAAGCGGAGCGGGTGTCGTTGAGCGTCATACAACCGTTTGCCTGGAATATAGAACAAACCCGTTATGTTGCATCTGAGGGTTGGCTGCACCTTGTAGAATGCCTGGAAGCCTATCGAAGTCCTTTTGATCTTTTGAGATGTGCATGGAACAGAGAATACGGTTTTAAAGCGCATGAATTTGGCATGCTCTATCAACTTATACTATGAAGGTTTCGCAGTTGAGTCCGTTAGTGAATCACTTTATTGTTTACTTGACTACATATAAGGACCGCAGCTTTTATAGAAGCCTGCCGTTTTTTACTTCGCCAAATTCCATCGATAGGCGGTGAGTGATGGCGCCGATAGAAGTGACTGTCAACGTCCAGCAGCTTAACTTTTCATAAATGAATTTGTCTGAACCCCATTTTCAGTGACTCAGAAAACCACACTAGCTATTAATTCATCTGATTATGTGCCCACTTTAAGTGTGACTGGAAACGTTGTGATCCGTCTACTCTTATTTAGTTGAAATATGTTGAAATATAAAATGCTGCACTATTTGCGTTCGTTTGGAAGTTAGTCAGCGTTAAACCTTTGTTAGAGATTTCTGACAGTAGTAAAGCAATCCTAGGTAGAATAGTCGCCAATATTCCATCCAAACCCGTTGATTTTGTCGGGCGGAGAGTACTTATAAATGCTTCCGACTATATCGATGGACAAACATGTTTCAGTAGGCAAATCGGGCACGCACTTACCTGGCAGATAAAAGGCCTAGGACTGTCTCATGCATCCGCTGTTTCTTTGAAGGATTTTGCCGACGCCAGATTGAAAAAGTGTTTGAAGAGACCTTATACTCTTATGTGAACCTTGAAGGTATCCCTGTTTTAGAATACAGCATCGTCAGTGCCGACACACTTAGAGAACAGGTATATATATTCATATAAGCTCTAAATGAGTCCTTATTTTGTGTAAAACAGAAACCTCTCACTGCTGCATATTTGTGGGGGGATCTTCCGTGACCCAAAGTATTAATTATTTTTCGTTTTTCTCTGGTGCTTGACTATATGCTGCGATAAAGTTTCGTATAGTGAGAAGACAGCCTTCAGCAATGGGATGTGTGATCTAGAGTGCTGAGTCTGCTTGCCGTACTATCATAACGGCACAAAGTCCCCATGAAAACAGTCGAAAATCTTGTGTGATTCAGCATTTAAACTAAACGTGGTTAAACTAGACCGTATATTCACAGTTCAGTCGTAAATTAAGACACATAAAGATAATTACTTTTCGTCTTCCTGCGGAGTACATTTCGGGAATTTTTTATTTCAGTATCAGACTGTCCTGGTCCCTCGAGCACAATCATCTAGATGATTGTTTTTCTCGTGACTTTTTGGTTTTCAGACTGCCCTGCACACGAATGCGAAAATAAGACCATTCAAGCACTTATGAAGCTAACAACAAAGTCCGAGTGCTGCTACAAGAGAGAATTAGATATGAGGCGGAAGTAAAGAGTCAAATATCTAGGTAAAGATATCCTTCGACTGAATGTGCTGCACCAGAAAAAGATAACCATAAAAGAGAGATTTAGCTAGATTCATTTGAGTCTCCCTTCAAAATCGGAGTCCAATGCAAACGGAAGTATTTTATGCATTCTAATCCAGGCTCAAGCAGAACCCAAGGATGGCGGAAACTCGTCACTTTATGAATATCCAGATACGTGTTTTAAAATGTCAAATCGTTTGCGTGTCGAGTGCCAGCCTATTGGGGTGTTCATTCTCATGAGTCACCTAAGTCTGCTTGAGGCTATCGGAGAGATGAGGACAAGAAAAACCGTTTAAACGAACATAACTGATGAACTGATTGTGAGGCCACTTACTGATTAGCTGAGGGTGTTTTCTTATCTCGTCCTAACCCAAAGTAGTGGAGTTCCTTAACCCTTAAATGGCGAAAATGGGACTGAAATAACTGGGGTCCGTAGAGTTTAGAGTGGATGTTTTTCGGAATTACCAGTGGTTAACATGCCATATTCGAACAAGAGGACTATACAATGAAGACTGAAATTAACGAACGCTTCTAGCATTACTTATGGTCGGCCTAATACACAACTGAAAGAAATCAGCCGTCATTACAGAAGAATAATGATTAAGTTTGCATGAAACTTGCGTCAGGTTTTGGTAATGGCATAGCTGACTGTCTCCAAAAGCCTCCTCAGTCACGATACGTGGTGGTTTTTGAAACGTAGGCATGACTTCGCCCATGGTTTTGAAAGGTTAATGGATAGGGTATATTTTTTGGTTTGCTCACCAACGATGCACCGAATTCTGCCCCACTAGTTCAAGCTTTTTTAGAGGTTGTCAAACCCGTTGTTTAAATATCCTGATTCATATCACTAGAGGCAAATATTTTCCAGTAATTTTCCGGAATTGGATTTTGCTTGAGAATATTGAGAAATGGAATGTGTTTACTTGTTATGAAGCAAAACACACTCATTTTGTTCTATCTTAGCCCGAAGAACGCTTGGAGTGCGAATCTAAGCAACTCAGATCACGGGCTCTCACCCAAAAATATGTTCAATAAAAGTGACGAAAACCTAATTCCACACAAGGTTCATTAATTAACAAACTGATGGTAGGCAAAAACCATGTAACAATCAACCTCAGTTAATCGGAGAGGACGATATAGAACGCCATTTCCTCCAATGCGCGGCCCTCATTTCCTTATTCTCCTTATCCGCGGTGAAGGAACCTGTAACAACTGGAACTACCGCACTTCGGTGGGCTGAAAAACTGACGGGCTTTCTGAGCACGCATAACAAGTTAAGATACGTATTTTTACGAAGGGACTGTGTTTGCCGTAGTCAACTTTATTGTTCCAATGCAATGGGAAGAGTCATAATTAAGGTGTGGTAGGTAGTTGGGTACGATTCAACTGTCATTACAGAAATTCATTTTAATGTGGGTATGTTTTATCCCTAATACATTCTGCCTCGGGAATAAGAAACCACCCTCTATGTCATGTAACGTGACCCAGTCACATGAAATTTTCCATTTTACTCGGAAAACAGAAATCTAGTTCTGATACAGGAAACAGGTTACCAAGCACCGGAATAGCTTTGATACCACAAGGGAAATGATGGTTTAACGCTTCAGGCCAAGCTTATTCAGTGGGTGGATGGAAGTTTTAAAGTTAGAAAGAAATGGGAGACAAAAAGCCTACAAATACACATGCTTTAGTTTTGTCATATGTCACTTCTGAAATTCGAATATACTCCTCTCAACAATCTTGCCTGTGATCACAGTTAGGGTTACGTTTTCCTTCTTTACAACTTAATATTCTAAGGCCAGGCTCTACGTTGCTTTCCAATGGGCAGTAGATAAATCGGCGTCATGCGGCATATTGGTTGACCCAATGACCTTTCGCTGGGGAACGTCATTGGAAATTTTAGCTGGCCGGACGCGGTACTTAAAAGTTTGCTGAAGTCTGCCCGACAGTCTACTACCCATAGATTCATCGAACGCCAGCGTAATCCGCAAATGAGTGTACTTAGGGTCTTTTTAGCTATCCGTTTGTTCTCACACGGCTCATGAGGAATTCCGACAAAGCAACCATGTACTGAGGAATAATCTGGGGAACAATGGTGATCACGTACATGTGAGATAACCCGAAAAAATGAGGCAGAGTTCATTAAATATCTTGCGCAGACCTACCAATAAAGGTTTTGGCCGAAAAGTTTCGTCGACACGCCTGTTTTGTCCCTATTTTTGAGTAATAATATGTACAACTCAACCGTCCTTTTAACAAACCAGATATTATCCCTGTCTCTGTGATGCTTCTTCATAATGTGCTGTTTTACACTCGGTGCTTTACCACGTTGTTTCTACAAAAAGGACGCATTAAAAAAACTTCCGATATCAAGTCACCTGTGAGTTCAGTTTTGATGCAGCCAAAATTCAGAGAATCTTATGAGCCCACGTTAGCCGCTGTAACAACAAGAAGTATTTTGAGGAATCGATTATGAAGAAACATAGGTATAACTGGCGGGACTGAAGAAAGTAAGGTTGGCTATTATGCACAATTTCGAAATTACACTCAACTACAGTGCAGCCTACAACCAGTGTATAGTAGTACAATTAATTGTACAAATGTATAGTACTACAACGTACAGCAGTAAAATGAACCACCTCAAGTGACCAGCACTCAATGATTCTTCTTACTAGAGGAAAATTTTGTTTGACGTATGCCCATGATACGATTTTCAGCCAGAATCAGCCAGGAAAAGCAAACAGAATGTCTCAATTTTCATACTAGTGTTGTCTTAACTTTGTGAACTTGCAAACTGTTGTCCAATCTTATTAGCTCAGACAAACCGAACAAGGAAAAGTCCTCAAGGTAACCCAAATCCGCATGAATGAGACCAATCGAAATTTCGAAGAACAGAAACAAGAAGCTCTTAAACTGCGAACAGAGCTAGACCAATGGAAGAAACGTTACAACACAGAAGTGAAGAGGCTTCAAGATCGACTCACCGAAGCCGAAAGGGAGTTGGTCAACACAAAAGAGGCACTAGAAATCAACCGCAATTCAACAGAACAGGTCAGCCTTTTACGTTACATTACACCATCTTTGGACTGAACTTTACGATTCAGTTCACATAAAAACCGAATTACTGTAACAGCCCATAGCAGGATGATAGTGAAGAAAATGCTATAAAATGGTTAGTTATGCTCTGCAAATAGAACTTAAAAAGGATAACAAATACCTCTAGGAAACTGGTTTCTGGTTACAAAGTACCGTACTTCTTATCTCGCATGTTATGACTAATGATATTTGCATGGCTCAAAATGATAGACGTCTAGAAATCAGAAGACCTTGTTAAAACTTAGTGAAAATACTATCAATACAGTTATTTGAACCTCAGAAGTTTCGGAGCCTAAATTTCCATTCTTGGTCGTGAAGTTGATGTGAACCAAGCTGTCAGGTGAAATGGAACATCCTGGGGTGAGATATGTTCATCCTGCACCATATTATGTTGATGAACGAATCCAGTCGAGTACCCAACAAAGTACAGCCGTAATAAAGTTTGGAAGAATACGCCGATTTTCACAAGAATTTGGTTTCGACAACAGACTCAACTGAATTCACCTGAATCTCTCATTATGATAGTTCGCTTCGGCTGCATGTGATGCATCATGTTGTCCCATGTTGATACGATATTCTAGAAACCATAATACATTGTCTCAACGTAACACGCTACTCATAGGGTTACTAAAATCTCTCCAGTAGCTCGCGATCGGTTTTCTCCCCCAGAGCTCATCAGGTAGCGCGTTGTTACGTTAAGATATTGCATTGAAATACCTTGAATATCGTACCAGATGAAACATGAACCGGCCTAGTGCAGCACATTAACTTGCAGCGAACTACCACAAACGAACCCGACCGAAAGCTGCCACCTTGACGTAGTGGTCCAGCTTGAGAGCTGCAATGATCCTGCGGGCTACACTGGCTGGAACGTCGTTCCACAAGGTGTAACCATGCCAGGAAGGTCAAAGGAAAGCAGTCAGACCAAGAGCAGCGAGACCCCGTACTACGAATAATCGTGCTACGAGGCGGTCTGGGGGTAAAGTAGTGCTGTCCTCTGTGACAGGAGTGTAAAGGCAGTAAAGTGTATCCCCCAGGTGACCAACATGTCCGTATTTATGGAAGCAGCGATGCTGCTTCCCCAAAGGAAAAATGGGTTAATAAAAGTGGGCCCTAAAAACCGCACACACTGATCGCTCAACTGTTGACCGTGACCGCCGGCGCATTACCCAATACGGTCGAAATACATTTAAAACCAAAGTGTCCAGTGCTGCTCAAAAGGCACCTGCTGTGCGCGGCCGCATCAGAAATGAGACAGCAATGCCCTTTTCCCTGAGCTCTCGGGGTAGGCCAACCCTCTGCAGCCGAGCAGGTCAGAAAATTGAGTCATCGCCTCCGGGCAGGGTCCCCAAAGAAAAGCCTACTGTCCTCTACCTCATGGGTCAGACTTTTGAGTCAAAGGCTCAGGGTGAGGTACCTTGAACAAACTCCCTTCCTCGACCTGGACAATCGGGAATTATCATTTGCTCGCGCAGTTCGGTGTCCACCGATGTCCCCCTCCCCCAGTCTCTTCCCACCACACGAGCAAACGTCGCTGGGCTGTTATCTGACCGAAGAGACTTACGCTCTTCTCTGCCTATTAAAGGTAAACAAAATAACACACTTCCAAATTCACTAGATACTTTATATATAGGAGCCCTTAACGCCCGTACACTATGTCAAATTGGCAGGCAGGCAATGCTTTCTGAGACCTAGTACTCCTTTAAAATTGATGTATGCTGCGTCCCCGAAACACGCATACAAGACCCAAGCGTGGTTGTGCATCTCAGAGCGCCACGGAATAACTCAGCTCATTCACATTTCTTCATCCGTGTGTCCGGTGACCCAGAAACGATGACTGGTGGAATATATGGTGTGGGAGTTTCACTCAGCCTCAGAACTGAACGTACTTTGCTGGATTAGATCTCAGTGAACAGTCGTCCTTGCACCGCCCGGTTATCCAGTTCAACCAAGCTCAATGCCTCTCGACATAAGCGATGCCTGTTTGTAGTGTCGGTCTATGCCCTAACGAACTGCAATTCTGAGGCAGAGAAGGATATTTTCTATCGAGAGCTATCGGGGCTCATCCATCAGGCAAAAAGCACTGACACTATGATCCTTGCAGGCGATATGAATGATCAAGTAGGCTGTCTTAGCTCCTTGGAATCACATTTGGGCAGTCGATTCGGAGCTGATGCTCGTCGGAGAGATATGAACTGTTCCTGGCAAGTATGAGCTTTCAACATAAACGTTCGCATCGCGTAACCTGGCGGCAATTAACTGCAAATCAACCGTGGGCCCAGTTGGACCACGTAGCCATCAGCCACTGGTGGAAAGCCACAATTCAAGAATACCGTTCATTCTGGGGCACACCGCATGATTCCGATCACGTCCTGCTGCCTGTACACCTTACGGTTCGCTTCCCTTCAGGCTCTCGCTAGTCAGCAAGAAGCAGGTAGTCCAGTATTTTCGAAGAACGACCATAGCTCAACAGTACCAATTTGAGCTAGCCCAACAACTCTCCACAGTAAGACAGTACTGTGGTGGCAGTGAACATGTGGATGAAGCGTGGCAAAATGTGAAAAGAGCTATGCTAACGGAGTTCAGTGCTGTCTGTCAGACTTCTCCGATTCGACCACAAGATCACTGGATACCGTCGAGATCGCTATCCATTATCGATGCCAGGAAATCGATCCGCGCATGCAAACCCCCTAAACATCAAACAGTGAGGAGCCTAAGAAAAGACCGAGAGATCTGGCGGACATCGAAAGCCCGGGAGTTGAAGAAGGATTTTGCTGCGGGAAACGGCCGTGCCGTATATCAGCTGATACGATCGACTGGCCCTAGGAAAGCAACGGTCAGCGAAACGATAATGGGAAAAGATGGCTCATTAATTCACTCGCAAAGAAATTTGACGGCAAAGATAGACCGAACACTTCGAAGAACAGTTCAGCTGGTCCCTGCAACACGGCCTGTAGAGATAGTGCATACAGGCGAATGGAATTTAGACATTGATCACCCGTCGGATGAAGAAATAAAGTACGAAATATCCGCGGTAAAACGTGAGGCATCAGGACCGGACGGACTGTATCCAGCCCTCTTCGAAGAAGACGGAGAATCCCTGATGACCAAACTAACAAAACTATTGGTGTGATATGGAACGAAGAGTTGCCTGCAGAATGGGCATGTCGACAGGTATACCTATCTTCAAAAAGAGTATGCGGACAGGGTGTGCGAAAACCACCGTGGCATCAGCCTGTGAGCAGTGGCATCGAAGGTGCTCTCTGGTCTTATCCTTCGAAGGTTGACTGAATACAGAGGGAGACAAATCCGTGAGAACCAAGCTTGTTTCCGTTCTCCAGGAGGTTGCATCGATCATATCTTCACCCTCCGACAAATTCTGGAATAGCGACACAGCTTTCACTAACCAACGATAGGTTTGTTTCTTGATCTGAAAGCTGCTTTTGACTCTGTGGACCATCAGGAACTATTGTAGTGCCCGCGGAGCAAAGGTGCTCCCCTTAAATTCTTGATCTCCCTTAAGGCACCAAACGCCAACTCCCGCTGCCATGTGAAGGTCTGCAGGAAGCTCTCGTCTGAGTTCACCACATCAAGTGGTGTCAGACAGGGCTGTACTCTTTCACCTTTCCTCTTCAACTTCGTCATTGATGCGATCACGGAAGACTCACTACCAACCTCTAATGCCTGTGGGGTCGAAGTGCTCCCTGGGCCTCCGCTTACAGATATCCAGTACGCAGACGACATAGCTCTTCTTGGATCTGGTCCTGTGGTATTGCAAACAATATTAAATAATCTGAATAATTCTGCCTCGAGGTTCGACATGCGCTTCACACCTGCAAAGTGTAAAGTGATACTGCAAGACTGGGTGGGCTCGAACGCTAGCCTCATGCTTGCGGATGAACCGATTGAGGTAGTAGGCAAATTTGTTTACCTGAGCAGCTGTATCAGTCCCGGTGGTCTCCTCTCGCTAGTCAGCAAGAAGCAGGTAGTCCAGTATTTTCGAAGAACGACCATAGCTCAACAGTACCAATTTGAGCTAGCCCAACAACTCTCCACAGTAAGACAGTACTGTGGTGGCAGTGAACATGTGGATGAAGCGTGGCAAAATGTGAAAAGAGCTATGCTAACGGAGTTCAGTGCTGTCTGTCAGACTTCTCCGATTCGACCACAAGATCACTGGATACCGTCGAGATCGCTATCCATTATCGATGCCAGGAAATCGATCCGCGCATGCAAACCCCCTAAACATCAAACAGTGAGGAGCCTAAGAAAAGACCGAGAGATCTGGCGGACATCGAAAGCCCGGGAGTTGAAGAAGGATTTTGCTGCGGGAAACGGCCGTGCCGTATATCAGCTGATACGATCGACTGGCCCTAGGAAAGCAACGGTCAGCGAAACGATAATGGGAAAAGATGGCTCATTAATTCACTCGCAAAGAAATTTGACGGCAAAGATAGACCGAACACTTCGAAGAACAGTTCAGCTGGTCCCTGCAACACGGCCTGTAGAGATAGTGCATACAGGCGAATGGAATTTAGACATTGATCACCCGTCGGATGAAGAAATAAAGTACGAAATATCCGCGGTAAAACGTGAGGCATCAGGACCGGACGGACTGTATCCAGCCCTCTTCGAAGAAGACGGAGAATCCCTGATGACCAAACTAACAAAACTATTGGTGTGATATGGAACGAAGAGTTGCCTGCAGAATGGGCATGTCGACAGGTATACCTATCTTCAAAAAGAGTATGCGGACAGGGTGTGCGAAAACCACCGTGGCATCAGCCTGTGAGCAGTGGCATCGAAGGTGCTCTCTGGTCTTATCCTTCGAAGGTTGACTGAATACAGAGGGAGACAAATCCGTGAGAACCAAGCTTGTTTCCGTTCTCCAGGAGGTTGCATCGATCATATCTTCACCCTCCGACAAATTCTGGAATAGCGACACAGCTTTCACTAACCAACGATAGGTTTGTTTCTTGATCTGAAAGCTGCTTTTGACTCTGTGGACCATCAGGAACTATTGTAGTGCCCGCGGAGCAAAGGTGCTCCCCTTAAATTCTTGATCTCCCTTAAGGCACCAAACGCCAACTCCCGCTGCCATGTGAAGGTCTGCAGGAAGCTCTCGTCTGAGTTCACCACATCAAGTGGTGTCAGACAGGGCTGTACTCTTTCACCTTTCCTCTTCAACTTCGTCATTGATGCGATCACGGAAGACTCACTACCAACCTCTAATGCCTGTGGGGTCGAAGTGCCCTCTTGGAGCCCGCTCACATATATCGAGTACTCAGACGATATAATTCTTCTTGGGTCTGACCCAGTGGTAATACAAACAATATTAGATAATCTAAATAATTCCGCCTCACGGTTCGGCATGCGATTCGCACCTGAAAATTTCAGAGTGCTCCTGCAAGACTGGGTGGGCTCAGAACCTAACCTCATGCTTGCGAACAAACCAACGACCATCTGTGCTACCTGATTTACCAACATTCTCCTCTATAGCAAAGTTTATTAACGTAGATTGCACGCAATTCAAGATACCAGTTCACAAACTGCATACCAAATACAACGGTAAACTTGCTTTGTGGGTACATAGTTAGCCATCCGCATTAACTTAATAGTTTTCGTTCTTCCTTTAGGGAAGGTGTTTAACAGCTATTGTGAATTGGTGGTGGTTTAATAAATGCCAGTTCTTCCTTTTCTAGAGGTAGAAATCTCTCATCTAAGCATGTTAACAAACTGCCTCCAAGTGGATCCTCGTACCTAAATGAGTGCCAGCCATAACAAACTCCGGAATATATCCAGGCGAACAAAACAATGAACAATCCATCCAAAATCCAAATACCTCAGCGCTGTCTTTGGGGAAAACACAAAAAGGCAAAACAAAAAGGACTGAGACACCTGTCTTGTTTGGGTCACCAATCCCGGCATACTTTTGAGCTTCGGTCAGCCGCTGAAAGTGTTCTTGTTGTCCTGCATTAATGAATGAGTTGCATCAACAATTTCCGCAACACTCGCCGTGCTGTTCCCACCAATGAGAAGTTTCCCGGGAGGGAATTTTGGAAAGTGCCTTTTGGAATTCGACCTTGTAATGGTAGCTGGAAATAGTTGGTAATGTAGAGACAGGCACAATAATCCACAATAATTTTTAGCTATATAAGGTAAATTTTTATTTCAGGTGAGAAACCGGAAAGATTAGTGTTAAAGTTGTTCTCCGAAATCAGTCTAACAGAACCAGGAAAACTCCACTGCTGAACAGCTTTGTAATTCCCTAATGCCCTCGTTTTAACGAGGGTCAGTTTGTGGGCTAACGAGCCGCGAAGCCACTTGGTGCCACTAAAATTCTGCAGCCTAACAAGCCAATACTACGGTGCACCCAGAAGTGCACACCTAATTACTGCCATGGTCTCCCATGGCAGTAGACAGCCAGGCCGGTGAAACCCACGCCCAGGCTTACGCTGGGATTTGTGGGAGTTACAAGTTAGAAAGTACCGATCATAATGGACTCACATACAAAACACTATTCGGGCACTCCTGATTCGTATTTTAAACAAACCGGTCTCATTGTGCTTATTTCAAACTGGCTGTCGTGATGTAATTCAAATACGAAGCTGTGTATGACTCAGCTGCATAATTTTCTAACTCCCCATTATACAGCTACTGAACTTCCGATCACTGATCGCTCGGCATCTGGGCTTAGACTCTGAACATCTGTCCGTGCCTGACTACGAGATTCTTGTAAAGCTGAATAAGTTGATCTCCTCAAACCACACAGTCACCAACAGGCTCCTGGCAACGGAGAATGCATTGACTCTGGTTGACGGTTCTTTCAAAGGAAGTAAGTCCATTTTCTGTTGCGAGAACAAGGTAGGTTGCGCTGCCTAGAATTACACCACAGCTTGAACCAAGCAACTCTCTTAATCAGTCAGTAGTCATCACTTCTCAAAACGCACTAAGCCAAATGTACACTGACACACTGATTTCACCAAAACAGATCACTATGAATAAGGGGTTAGCTAGGCTTCTGGTTAGGAGTTACTCACCTCAGGCGGATCGGCTGACGTAGAAAGCTTTCATGAAATCTTCAAGGAAGTGGCCTCCCTTCGGTGGGATTGGAAATAGAGGATGTAGCGGACGGAAAATTCCAGTTCGTTTTAGAAAGAACTGGTTCCCTTCCGACCGCGGTTTAAACAGTTTCTGTGACTACCTGCGTACTCGATCGTAATCCGGTAAGTTCATCTGGCATACACGCGCCAGGTCTTCATTTCATCATCATCATCATCATCATCAAGGATAGCAACATCAGGGTTGGCACTGAATTCTAAGGTCATTTGCCCACTCAAGAGTCAGTGTTAATTCGGTGCCGTTCCAAGACCAAGGGAATGAACATCAACATCACGGATGTTCAGTGACATAAGTCAGTTTCTTGCAAGTAAACTCGATATTTTCATTAGTACTAGTACCACGAAACCACACCATAATTACGATCGTTTGCCATAATTTATCCTTTCTTAGAAGGATTTATCAAACGCCAAAACCATGTGCGGTCTACTTCAGATAGCTGCGCCAACACTCCTGTTCTTGAAAGTCATTTTGAGGCATAAGACGTATCGCACAAAGTAACTCTACTGGAAGCTCAACATTTGTCCCTTCGAGCATGAACTTTTTCACTTCTAACTTTTTTCACTTTAGGAAGAGTTCACTGAATGCAGTTCGGTTGTGAAATATGGAAATGGGAGTAAAGCCTTATTCAAAGCTCGTTGTGTAGGTCACAAAATATGCCTACATTAAAGCAATCAAATGACGTTACGTGTGTCGTAGGATTCCTGACTGCTTAAACCGTTAGGCTTAGGCAAGATAGATCATTAATTTGTTCTCGTCACAGTGACACGTTACAAATCGCGAGAAAGAATTAGCATTAGTGCTAAGACTGTGTATATCTGGATAGTGCTTATGGAAATGCATGCCTCTATCCCAGTAAAGTGGTTAACTATTTACTAGTCAAACTTGGAGTTAAATGGATGGGTCCGTGATTCACCATCTCACAGACCCGAGTTCAAATTCCATGGATGGCCACGATCCGACGTGAAAATCTGCACACTAGTTCCAGAACTAAAACCTCGTTTACAAATTGGGTGATTTATCTAGCCAAGACACCATTTTTATGGTCAACCGAGGTCCGAATCAGTGGCTTGCTTATCCAAGTATTCATTAGAGGTATATACCCGTCCTTAGAGGGGGACCAGTTTGAAGAAACAACAATGTTGAATGTGTTCGTAAGCTTCGCCCATTTACATGAATTACATAGATCATACAAGGACATCGTTAACCACGACAATGATGCCCGGCTCGAATTACGACCGGCGTCACGAGACAATTTAGTAATGGGGGAGAATCGGTCGCCTTGAACACTGATTCGCTTGCGTTTATCTCTGCTTCGACACGCGTGCGTACATAGACTCGTATGCACAAGCATTGAGGAGCTCCGAACTCATAAATCAAATACTCTTGGACGGCCTGCCTTACGTCGAAATTCTTCTGGAGAAGGCATAGTAGTCTCCAGAAACATCCAGAATCACTTATGAAACACTCAAAATCCAACACAGAGCCATCCACTTTCTGCTGTTGATTGACGTTGCAGATGACCCCGCAACCGTCTTCGCCTTTTCTAGAGTACATCAGTTAGGCTTGGACCAGGCCTTCGCGCAGCACTTACAGTTGAGAGTTCTCTTTGGTATTACGTCGACACCATAATAATTTGCAGATAAGAGTTTAACTTCACAAGCGGGAAATGCTTGTCTCCAAGTCACCTTGTATCGTTATGAGGCTCGGTTACTGCGCGACCCATGTGTGAGTATAGCCTACTTCTCCAGGCCTGCAAAGGGACAACAGACAAATTGGGTGTGAGCTGAATGATTCCGTGATGGGACAGGTGAACTCTCAGTTATAGAGCGAACGAAAGCCTAGTGTAAAGACCGTTTTTAATTTCTGAGAAAATAAAAGCTTGACTGTTCGTTCTTCCGTAGATCATTGAACCCTGAAATGAAATCATACTGGCGACGGTGATTTTCGACAAACTCCTGGCAATCGGTCACACCCTTCCTGATTCGGTCCTAATTGTGAGAATCCCATTTATGGCTGATTGTGACAAATTCATAAAATAAATTCCATTGGAGTACGACTTGACTTAAACACAAAGCGTTCAAACGGATTGATTGATCGGAATCCTGGATAGCAAAAGTATCGTAATGATATTTTTTGTGCAGACCTTTTGTAGTAACATAACGTAACAGTCGTCATATCCGGTAGCTTGACCTGTCGTTTCGTAGCGATATGGAAAAGTTTGTCAGTGTCATAAAAGTGCCAGACAGATGACAACTTGTTTGAGGGTGAAATTCAGTCTTGGTGGCTGATCAGATGGTTCTTGATCCTTTCGCCAGCTTGCCAATTGGCTACTTACCAAATGATTGAGAATGGAGTGATCAGGAGACTGGTTTTGGTGGAGCAGTCTCAAGCAATGCAAAGGGCGCTGTAAGCTTAGCTGGCTGGGCCGTGTTGCCGCCTGCTGAGAAGAGTACTGTTTTCCATGCCTAATTCAGTGGTAGAAACCTACAGCTCTGGGCTTGATCGAACTCGGCAAAGGGAAATTCGCTCTGTTCCTATGTGGACTGGCGTAAAAAACAGGATCTAACCGGAACAAAGTATAGAGCTGCGCAAACGACTACAATCGATACAATCCTATAGTTTAATGTCACTAGGATGGGGGCCATACCAAGTCTAAGTAATGAAAGTCACAGGAAAATTGGTGAAAAAAAAATGCTTTCAGACTACATCTGAATGAGAACTATAGGGCCTGAAGCATCTAAGTGATAAAGGCAGAGTAAGCACATTGAGAGCCGCAGTGTGGAACAAATTCCTTGTAAGTTATTCTGCTACGCGGAAGCTTAGATGCGGAGCAAATGTTAGCTAACTGAGCTAAATAAATCAAGACTCGGGCGACGGACGTGTCGGGAGGAGTCAGTGAACGTTGTGATAAAGCGGGATAAGGTGAACGAATTCTTTCAACATCTGAACATATTGGACCCTCATTTTAAGTTTCGCATAGAGCTAGAATCCACACTAGCTTTCCTTGACTACATGACACACAACAGTGGTGGGAAATTAAAAACCACTGTATACCGGAAATCAACAGATAGCGGTGCGGTTTTAAACTACTCCTCTGCACATCCAAAAGTAGTATATGCTAGCATAGCCTCAACGATGTTCAGAAGAGTGAGAGCAGTGTGTACAGAGGAGGTCGACCGAAGAGCAGTACAACTTGAGGTAAAAAAGGGACTTCAAGATAGCGGACACCCAGTGGGTCTAATTAAGCGGCAACTAAGACGAGTATTGGTGCCAACACCAAGGCCCAACAAGGAGTGGATCGGAACAGCGGTCATTCCATACAAAACAGGGACATCTGAAGTCATTAGAAGGGTACTAAATACTGCTAACATTAGAGTAGCTTTCTAGAAGGGGAAAACTTTACGCTCGATGTTGGTGCATTTGAAGGATGGCCTTACGGTTGATAGGACAAGGAACTGTGTATACAAAATAAAATGTAACGACTGTACGAAGGTTTATATAGATCAGACAGCCAGGGAATTGCACACCAGAATCGGTGAGCATAAGCGTTCCATTAACAAACCACCGAGAAACGCAGAAGAATACCAGGCGTTAGTCAAAGATTCAGCAATGGCAGGGCATGCTCTAGACACTGGGCGTAGTATAGATTTAGAAAATGTGGACATCCTGAGTCGGGGTTTAAGATTCACACCACAGCGACTGGTGGACGAGGCGGTGGAAATCGCCAAGCATCCCAGTGTGAATAGAATAGAGGGGGTAGAACTTGCAAACGTGTGGAGAGCGGTCTTAGATCAGCCGAGATGACACGAGGCGGTGTGCAATTATCAGCAAAATCGCCTGGGTCTTAAAGTACAAAATCCAAGTAGAGTTAGATCCAATTAACAACCCTACCCCCATCTCCAAACCACTGGACGAACACAGGTGAACGAAATCTGTGAGCGACCCCAAGAGGAATTTTCCATTAAGGTGTCCTAGACTGAAGAAGCAAGGACGAAGAAATACGAGTTCATCATAAAGACGAATCCCCTCTAACCAATCTATCGTAAATCTTAGTCATCCCCACTAATCAACAAACAGGAACATCAGACTGAACCCCCCGCACTGATCACGTCACTAGTCATAAGGAATCTCACGGATTGGTTCCCTGACTGCCTTAAAACCCAATCAACCTACTTACTTACTCGCTTGGCCTGACGAAGCTTTTGTGTCAAAAGCGAAACGTTACCGATTGTTTACGGAACCCCTCTGAAACGATGACTTCCCAATCGGTCCCAAACATTTTCCGATTGAGTGAATCATACTTCTCATTTGTCTAGGCCGAAGAAGGGGGTTTGGTTGAGGCCCTTGGTCTCTGACTCAAAAGTATGACCCACAAGGCAGTGGGTGAATGTACGGTTTTGCTCAGGGACCCTTCCCATAGCCTCGGACTCAAAAGTCCCAACCGCGACAAAGCGGTCTTTAGGGCTTTCTTGAGGGACTTTGCTAGGAGTCAATGACTCAATGGTCTGAACCACTTGGTTGCAGGGGTTTGTTCTGGCCCGAGGACGCAGAGATGAGGCATTGCTGTCTGAGTCCCAATGCGGCTGTCAGGCTAGGCATCCGCGGGTCCAAAGTTATATCAGAATATTCAGCGTGCAGCAGTGAACAGAGTTGGGCGGACTAACTCATACTGGTTTGAGCACTTCAAACCGGCTCGTATACTAGACATGACCAGAACTCGAAGTCCTGTCAGCAGACGTCCAAGTGGAGTACACTGGGAACGCACTTGTAAATTGCGGTGTGTTTGACCCTTGGAGTAAGGTCCTAGAACCGTATACGTTTGTTTGTATACGCATTTTAAAACTGAGTTCATCCTGCCGAAGACATACGAATTAGGAAAAATCAGGACTGCCGAATTAAGCGACTGCTCCTCATATGTAGCAGAGAACGTTTCTTTAAATGTTTTCGAGTAAGAAAGAACATATCCAGAGAAACAAATGTAAAAATATGCACGTGATAAGTATCAGGAAACGATTAACATAAGGGGTTTGTACAAAACAATTTAAAAACGTTTGCCAGACGGTAAAGATGATTTGGGCGGTGGAGCCCAATTTAAACAGGAGACATCGAATTCAACATAGCTTCCATTAGGTTTTCGCCGAGTGCTACTATTCAACTTGGCAAACGTTCTTTGGCTACTTTCGGAGAGCTGCTGAAGATACTCTTTTAGGTGTTCTGCTTTCATGTAGGCGTGACGACCAGAGCGCCATAATTGTACGCCACGTTGACATCGAAGTGTCCAAAGGATGTCATCTACTGCAATACAGGTGAACGAGCTACAACAAGGGCGCAGGAAAAGTGCTAGATGAAACTGTGGGAGAGGAGTGAGTTCGGATTGGTTACAGTAAATCCTGAGTGAAAAACTACTAGGTAAAAAACCTCCCTACAAAGCATTCTGTCGTGGTGTCTAATGCTAACGGATTCCAGTATTTTTTAGACGTTGAGCTAAACGGAGTGTAAAGTAGAGGATAATAGTATGGAAAAAAGCAAACACTAAACACCTCGAGAATACCTCGAAATGTGTTAGTGTGTGTAAATGTGCACAGAGCCAGGTTTATTCCACAGCAGACAGTAACAACAAATGATGAACGGACCATTTCAACTTCAAATAACTACCTAATCCAAAGCACAACAGGGTAGCGACAAAATGTCAGTGTAGCGGTCGCCCAAGCTGATTAGCGCATACACGTCCACGGTCTCCCTCGCGCCTTGTTTTTGTTCCACACGTCACAAATTATACCACATGAATCTGAACTTTGGCCAACAGCGGGTTCTGTGAACTCGGTAAGAGCCTTTGTTTTCACATTGTTTTCTCACGGTTCAGTCAGAATACATTAGAACAGAACACGGCCAACTGACAGTCGGCACAACACACGTAGTCGACACACTCAATAAAACGGCCGACGCTCGTCACTTCACACAGCACCTTGACCTGCGTCACTTTAGACCCACACACGACTCACTGTGCGGGAAAATTATGGGCTCAATAGCGTTTGGATTTAACGAAAAAAGACAGACCAGACAGACTTCAACACGCTCGGTCAGTACACCCTTTCAACACAACTGCGTCCAGCAAACCTCAGCGTCGTCCGCTACAACTTTTCAAACGCATAACTCGAAAAGTCCCTTTTTTGTTTGCAATCCACTTGTGACACAATGTCTCTGCTGGTCACTATACATAACTTGTTTGTTATTAGCGTTATTCACTTTCTGACACAACCCATAGTAAAAACCGAAGTCTCAATATCAGCAGCAAGTACAAAATGAGATGGCAGTCTGTCAGCAGGCGTATAACCGAAGCCCAGTCACAATGCTGACGGACTTAACCTCAACAAAATGCAAGGGTAGAGCATCATGTACATCTCGTGAGGGTAAGCTACGCCTCCATAGCACACACCTATGCCACCATCACAAGCCGAAGTTAGACGGCCAGTGACTCGTTTGTATACACGAAATCGGTAACCAAAAGGCATCGTAGATGACAGAACGAATTACTGAGGGAGCATTACACGGCTGGTCTGTGCTGCTTATATATTACCAAAACGCTTTGAGAAGGATCTTCGCACTTGGCAATTCACAACGGACATGTGCCCAGATTAAGCATCAAGGGGTTGCATTCGACCGCTCCTGTTCCCGCCGCAAACAGAGTAGGTCTTATAGTGAAACAATAACCACAAGCTCATGACCCATTGAACGATACAGAAGGGGACAATCGGTTTCTTAATGGATAACGGTCTGACAAATTCTCCTTTCAGGTCCGCAAGTTATGTCTAAGCGTACGTCATGAGCATACTCTTGATCAAAACGTTGAGTAGTGAAGACCCTACGTGCATTATAATATTACTAAACTATGCGATTTTACCACATCAATTCAAAGTGATGCTTTCCCGTTAACCGACGTAACTTGGACAGTCGCGGTAGCTGAGGAAAACAATTTACAAGCTGGTCTTGTAAAAAGTTGGATTTTTAAATATATCTTCAGTATCGGCATTGGGAGTGAGATTTGTTCTCCCCCGCCTCGAGTTGAGTTAGTTCACGAGGACGTACGCTCCAAGTTGTTGTCCCAATAAAACTAATACCGGTAACGATGTGGGTAGGGAGGTTGTAGCCGAGTCCTTCAAATAACGCCCTTCCATGATATAAAAGACTGGCGGGTACCAGAAGTTTTGATCGTTGGAATTAAATAACAGTCCAAAAAACGACTTACATCAAATGGAAACATTTACATCTACCTACCTAAGCTCCCCTAGAGAGCAGCTCGGATGCTCGGAAAGATAGTGGAATATTACGTCTTCCCAATAACTCCGGTAGCTCAGGCGACCCAAGTCGGATAGTGGCTTTTCAGGTGTTCCTACCACTCCTTCAATCTTGGCTAGTTCGTAGCCTGAAAAATAAATCATAGAAAGACTCGGTAGTATGCATGCACAAAAACAACTTTGACACAACGTTAAGTGGAGACGAAGCTGACAACGCTTCTGTAACACGAAAGATTAGCAAAAGTCAATTGTCTCTATTTCCGAGGAAGGCTGATATACGACAAGGTACAATGAACCTAGTGACTCGTGACTGATTGTGCTCTTTAGCAACATATGTTTGGGACAATTCCAGAAACTAACTCTCACGCTGTAACTTCGAGGCTGTCTCTGGGGAGAGTCAGAGACGGCGATAGACAACGAAATTTGAGACGACGGATGTGTCAGAGAAGCAGAGATGCCAAAAGCCCAATTACCTACCGGGAGGATCTTCTCTTAAAACAACATTCTACAGTTCACCTCATAATTCTTAGTCCGACGCATCTACTGTCTGAATCAATCGACAATGTTACTCACTTTTTGTTTTCATTGTCCACCATCATTGACGGCGGTGGTGGTCAGGACCCACCCGTCGCAGTGCAAGCTTATTTCCCCTAGTGTGCGATATCTACCCAGGCGAAAGGTTTACATGTGAAAAGAAGTCTTATCTCTTTCCACCGCATTTGCCCCAGGGCTGCATGCGAACCAAGCAAGCAATACGGACTCAAGGTAACAAACAGTCTGGTCGCCAAGAATATTCATTATATTCATATTCATATTCATTCATAATAAGCTGGAACCACTGCACCTCGGTGCACGGTGTGCGAGTTGAACTGAACCGATCCAATGATAGAGGGAAACATGACGAACAAACAAGCGGTCTCATGGTATCTTCAGGCCTTGAAGACCTAAGCTCTGACGTGCTGTTTCTTTGGCCTATCGTGAATCCAGATTAGATATTGTTACAATGTCAGTCAATTGTCTGTACGTTATAAATGCCAGACCTATCATACGTTAGTCAAAGTCGTTTTGGTTGAGTGAGCCCATCTCATTTATCTTATGAACGATTCACACTATTGTACATCGCTATAGCTATTGCTGTGCACTCATGAGATCAATAAAAGGAGTAGTTTTGGTCTCATCCTTATCCAGGTTTTCTGTTCAAAATCACAGAGCACCAATAACGCGGAATTAGTAACGCAGGCTATTTTCATTCAGTAAAAATGGGCGACTTTTGTTACGACTTTGTCTACGGTTAGCAAAACTTCAGAAATTGTTGGGGATATCAATATCCCCCCAAAAACGCTGTATTTTTATGTGTGCTAGCGAACTTCCGGCATCTTCAAGGTCAAACTATGAATAAATCAATGGCCTATTGATATTCCAAGAAATTTAAAATCCGACCACTTCTTACACGATACCATCTTTTTACTGACCTGGGTTCGGAAGCTCGGGGCATGGCCTGTTGATCGCGTGTTTTTGGATCATTAAAGTTTGTGTCAGAGGTTTTTCGTCTTCTTACTATCCGCCGTGCTAGGAGTCTGGATCAAGTAACATAGCTGGGGATAGAGATTTGCCACGATCCGTATATCAATATTGTTTGCTCGCTGCGTGACCGAGCCGTAACAGAAATAGCGTTCCACATTACAGTGAAAAGGGTATGTGATGTGGAATAGGTTGAAAAACATCTTATCAAACAATACAGCAAGGATGCGTAAGGGTGAACGAAAACAAAAATGTAGGAAACATACTTAGGGTTATCAAGAAGCGCCCGATTCCACGCTTTTGAAACGGTGGCAATGTTAGGATGCATGCAAGGTTGTAGTTGTCGACAGATACCTTTTCCTGTAGGGTAAGTAGAAGAGATGACAAGTACTTAGGAGGAAACCGGAATCGCAGGTAAACCAACTAAGCAGAAACCACTGGGGACAACCTGATAGAAACCATATATAACGAGACTGTTTTATGTGGCCATAAAGTTATGATCACATTTGTACCAAAATCGACTCCAAACTGTCATAACTACTCATAACTACTGTCATAACTACTCACCGATTCGACGAGGACAATGCTGAAGCATTCTTATAATAACATGAAGTTCATCGTTTCAAAAAGCGTAATTCCAGGATTTTACGAAGCTTATTAATGGGGACTGGAAAAGGCCGATAGGTGAGCATACAAACCAGTTGGTTAAACTTGTCTAGAGGGTGGACCCCAAAGCTGACCGAAGTAGTTTCTATACAACAGGGTCCACAGGGCTGGATACTTTATACATATAAGGATAAAAACGAAGTAATGAAGCGGGATGCAAGTTATGTACGATCTTAATGTGAATTGCCAAAAAGCATAAGAGGTATGGGAAAGTAAGTGGGTTATTCAGTAAATCGACTTATATAAGTAAGTTGTACAAATTTCACTCTTTTTATTCTAAAGCGAGGTTAGTTCAGTTCCTGTAGTGCAAAATCCGTTGAAATCGAGTAGGGAACGCGAAATCCGCTAAAACTACGATCTTGGTAACGGGAATACTAGCAAATATGATGAGCTCCACAGTGTCAGACTGATTGGAAAATTATATCGGAGAGGAGATGTGAGATGAAACAGTACTCATCAAAGCCTGCAACTGCTTGAGAGTTTAAACGGCGAAATGCATACAACCTTGCTCTTGAACCTTAGTGTAAAGACGGCTGAGAGAGACGGGTGATGATATACCAGCTCTGTCATTTAGAAGAATCGGATTTACGGGCTCAAACTCTAAAAAATATACATATATCATGGAAACCTAACCAGGGGGAACATCAGGAGGACTGCTAATGGCGGCAAACAGGGATGAAGTACCTCAGAAAATTAGTTCGGTGACGACGCAAAAAGACAGACCTCGTAATGATCCTGACTACATGAAGTCATCACTTTCAGGAAACACACCTCAAAGTAGTAAAATTCAGCTCAGTATTAACTTTGGCCACACTATAAACAGGCTTATCCAAGTTCGAGGGACGAGTATTTAGTATAAAAGGTTTGTCGCAATGTATAGCTGACCTAAATGTGCCTTGTTTTGACGTTTTCTTCAGGGAATCACGTGAAGCACTGAGATGCAGATATAAACTGCAGGACTTACCTTAGAAAAGTATCCCACTAAGTGGCATCCCTCACGATCCGTCTCACATAATACGTAAAACATGAAGGGCGCAACATCATAATACAGCGTTTTATGGTCCAAAAACAGCTTTGCCAGAAGGCACAGATTTTGACAGTATAGCTGGGAATTCAAAGATGGAATAGAGATATAAGAACAGCTGGTTGAACAATTGCGACACGTTTTAGCCTCATACACAACGTCCTAAGTGGGGTCAATTTTTCCGACCAATGGGACAATGTGGATAAAAGTAATGAAAAAGTTCACACTATGCATACCCTCTGTTCACTGCCATCCAATTCGAACACAACCAGATCACCCTTCCGATATATCTGCTTGCCGATTGGTTGTCGTTGTCGACACACCTCTGTCATATGCATCACCCAAGTGCGCGCGCATTTCATATACTTTAAACAGTATTCGCAAATCCATAGCTTGTTCAGGCGGCGATATTCTTCCGGATATGGGGAAAAGTACCAAGTGTCGATTTCGTATTTTCCGAACTGAATATGATCGATGAATTTGATTCGGGTGAACTGAAATTACGATGGAATAATCACAGGGAGCATAGGTAAGCAGCATAACATCGGGGACGCGGTGCAACTAATAATATGTGCGTTTAGGCGAGAAGATTTGCTGCCGCCAGATTTCTCTGGTGGCTTCTTGGAGCTTACCTCAGTTAGTAAAGAAGGAAATCAACTATCTTAAAAGACAAGGTCAAGCCTCCCTAAAATAAATGTGTAAACCACGCATAAAGCAAGGATGTGGGAGCATAGATTCATAATGATGATGATGATGATGATTGCTGATGATGATGATGATCATTGATGATGATGATGATGATGATTGGATGATGATGATTGGATGACGATGATTGGATGATGATGATTGGATGACGATGATTGGATGATGATGATTGGATGACGATGATTGGATGATGATGATTGGATGACGATGATTGGATGATGATGATTGGATGACGATGATTGGATGATGATGATTGGATGACGATGATTGGATGATGATGATTGGATGACGATGATTGGATGATGATGATTGGATGACGATGATTGGATGATGATGATTGGATGACGATGATTGGATGATGATGATTGGATGACGATGATTGGATGATGATGATTGGATGACGATGATTGGATGATGATGATTGGATGACGATGATTGGATGATGATGATTGGATGACGATGATTGGATGATGATGATTGGATGACGATGATTGGATGATGATGATTGGATGACGATGATTGGATGATGATGATTGGATGACGATGATTGGATGATGATGATTGGATGACGATGATTGGATGATGATGATTGGATGACGATGATTGGATGATGATGATTGGATGACGATGATTGGATGATGATGATTGGATGACGATGATTGGATGATGATGATTGGATGACGATGATTGGATGATGATGATTGGAGGATGATGATTGGATGATGATGATTGGATGACGATGATTTTCCCGGTAAGTCTCTCGCGAACTTTAACTTGTTTACCAATGAGTGCATTTTGCTGAAAACAAAGAAGATCTTGCTGGGAGCTTGCGCCCAATTATGGGTTGACTGAGAATGAATAAGCACTATGTGACAAAAAATACGGCAGTTCTTTTCGCCCGAGTATTTTGTGAGTTGGCACCACATTGTGTTTCTATTGTACATCATGAGCCTGGAAGTAGGTAGCTGTTCGAGAGTTTTATGGTATCTGCGATCGATCGGTTCCCCTAAACATCTAAGAAACTTACAACTAGGTCACAACAATTTGTTGCCACGAATTATAAACGGTTGACGCCATTATTACTATCAACAGGTTTCATATATAATGAAACACTCAGGACATAGGTTACAATGTTGGAGGAGACGATAACGGACCTAAAACCTGCGTTGTGTGAGGTTGACGTGGTTGATTCAGTTCACTTGGACTGTTAGAGTCAAAAGTTAGGAAATTCGTGTGATCAGTTTAACGATGATGACAGGGAATTCACAAAGGAGAACTGGCGCTCGCAATAACTTTCCATCAGTGGACAACGCAATAATTATCGCTGCAAAACGTACAGAAGGGCGTCGAAAGTGATCCAGAATAAGGCGTGCAACTAATGAAATGGGCTTGACGGCCATCAGGTCAGTTCACCCGGAAAACAAATTTAACACTACCAAGCAGTTTTTCATTGCTACTAGAAACAAGCACAACCCACAAATAAATAGGAACTGACAATTTGCGGGACGAGCCCTGGGATGAGGGACGAATCAAAAGCAAATAAACTAATGCGCTCGCTTACTGAACGATAGGATCACATGTAGTTAATATACATATTTCGTCAATTGTCTATCCCCATGTATATGAATAGTAAGTGAAACAAACATACCCAATGTGTACGATGTCACAGTTCGGGATGTCCTACAGGGACGAAGCAGCCATGTGTGGAAAAGCTTCCGAGACCATTTGTGTTTGACCAGAATATTGTGTGGTCCTTGTGGGAACATCAGATCAGTAATACCGAAGTTTTCGGGTGGCTCTCTGTCTCTCTCTCTCTCTCTCGATAGATCAGCTGGTCACATTGCACAGATTACACTAGTTAGACCATGTACTTCGTATGCCAGGAGACAGATTGCCTCATAGACCACTCTTTGCTCAGCTTAGAGACGACCCAGGGGCGGTCAGTCCATGAATTGGCAACGAAGCATGAAAGCCTTCGCCAACCAATTCAGTTGCATTGGTAACTGCCGTCTCCCCGAACGGGGGCTCGGAGATGAGGCGAACCAGTGGGTAGTTACCCTGAAAAATATGGCTTTGTCAAGCAGTCCTGCATCCGGGCTATCATCTTTACTGCATGGTTCTCACTCCCTAACCTACCGGACAAACAGACTTATAGCTCTCATTCTATTAAAATCTCTGTCCCCGATTAATAAAGCAGTATCAGCTAGAACCACTGCACTCCAGTACATGGCTGTTTAGCTTAAGAGATTGGAGTGAGTTGATACCCAAGGTGAGTGGAGTACCCAATGTGGGATGGGAGATCTTAAGTATAACAAGGAAACCATACTTACCTCTTGATGTTCTAGTTCCAGTTTTTCAGTAGTGGAATCAAGTGAGACCGGAGCTTGCTGCTGTGGGTATTAGAGAAAGGGCGACGACAACGGTCATGGACAAACAAGCTACAAGCCATATCTATTAAAGGTTCAGGATTTTGCACACAAAAAAACTTTGACACCTCGTTATGCTTATGATAGACTACCATTAGGACCATCCAATTCTCTTGCTTATTTCACGATAAATCTTTTGTACACACTATGCCAGCGATGATGGCAATGGTGGCAGTAGTGGTGTGTGCGTCTACGCAACAAAGGATTCAGCGAAGCTTATTAACATCAACTGAAAAATTGGACTTCCTGGCCAAAATCTGTCACCCATTGTCATTGACAGCAATGCACCAATACCAGGCACCAGAGTTTAACTGTTATAAAAACATGAGGAAATAAATAAATAAATAAATAAATAAAAATTGGACTTCCAAAATCTGTCACCCATTGTCATTGACAGCAATGCACCAATACCAGGCACCAGAGTTTAACTGTTATAAAAACATGAGGAGAGGAATAAATAAATAAATAAATAAAATAAATAAATAAAAGTTGAGTGGAGAGAAACGGATGGAGTAACTTAGTGCTGAGAAGCCCTAAATAATTTAGTTTACCTTTGTAAAGCATCAAAATTTACACACCCGAGCATAATGTCAAATTAAAACGCCATTAGCAGGATTGAGAGAGAGTCTCTTGCGAACCGCACTCAATATGAGCCCAGCACAAAACGTCAAGCGAACTCCGGCCAGGCAATCTGGTTACGAAATGACAACACGCAAGACACTGAAATCGGTTGCATGTCGTATCCTGCAGGATCTCCGAACGTTTTAAGCAGAATCATGTTGGCCTCAGTCAGAAAGGCTCAGGGGACCTCATAGCACAGCTTGGCTGCAGCCACTTTCATTTCAAACTGTTACGGCTGTTCTCTGCGAACCGTTTCTGAAACTGAGGACGGTGGTTGGGCATACGTGATAACTGCTCGGTAATTTTATTATACTGCTCTGAAGAGTCTGATTCGTTATCAGCTGCACCCTCATGTCTCTCTCTAGGTCTAAGTGCCATGGCAGCCCTCCAGCCCATACACAACAATGAACTGCTCACCTAAAAACGATTCATGCCACATCGACCGTTGTGTTGCGTTTTATGGGAGTGAGGAACCAGTGTTCTCATTTGGTGTTGCCCGTAATGATGTGCCCTAACGCATTACTTTGCTGCGTACTCCCCGCAGCCTGTTAGCTCTTGAAGACAGATGAAGATGCCCGAGGTCCTTGGATCAAAAGATCTCACAACCACAGGTAAGACAACCTCTGCGGTTATCACATACACACCACCCTTTAGCTTCAACGAAACTCGCTTCTCACGCCAAAAACGTCATAAGTTGGCGAACTTTGTCCCACCTTTGTTACCCACGCATGGACTTCATGTGTTATAATACAACTACGGCAAATGCAACTGGAGAAAATGTGGATTGACTAAAGAAGCAAATCCCTCAGCCTGGGATTTCGGAGATGCCCAGAAAGATGGGGAATCTTCGAGGGTGCAAAACGCATGCCACAATACAGGATCGTGTTTACGAGATTCCATGCGGATAAACAATCGTCAGACAACTAAACGATCTCATCCGCAAAACCCAAGTCCATTAATCTCATTCAAAATGTAGTTTTGATAACAATATTAGTGGTAGTTAGAAGTGTACACACCACGATAACGTCAATGTGGAAATAGGACAAAAAAGGAAGGAAATTCCATTAGTTATTAGGATTTTTCTGGGCAGCTTATTGTATTTCATGACCCCACCGGAGCTACAGAAAAGGCAGGAAAATGTTTAAGAACTTCGGGGTCATCCCTTCTGGCGAAGAGTACTTTGGAGATCAACGAAATCAAAGGCTCCTTCAAGGTCGAAGAATGTCGCGATTGTTCGTTCGCGGTTTAAATGGCATTCCACAAGCGTTCGATGTATTTGAGAGATACGATCAATGCACTCCCCCTCATGTCGAACTCCCGTTTGGTGTCCTCGGACTTGCATCTCGCACGCCGAAGATAGGCGTACCAAAATAAGGGAAACCAGTGGCCGTGTTACAACAGGTATAAGACTTATACCCTTGTGATTGCAAGTCAGTTTGAGTACGTTCTTCGAACACGGGTACGCCCAACGATTGGATTCGATTCCTTGGAGCACACTCTCGTTCCCAAACACGTACATATAACCTAGCCAGGAGGGAACACAGATCCGTTTTTTAATAAGGCCGATGGAAGTTTACGTGGTTCAGTAGACCAATGAAGCTTCAAGGGAGGATGGCATTTTAGTGCCTCATAAACCTATTGAGGATCTGGACCCACAGATCACGGCACACACAGCTGTAGGTGAATGCCAAATAATACAATGGAACCCACCGCATCTAAACCCAGTACCACTAAGAAACAACTGGTGAACGATACAAAGTTGCAAAAGACGTTCACCACTATGATGTTCTGCGTTCAGATTGAACATACCACGGAGGCGTGCTGCTGGTGAACTGAGGCGTCCACTCTACGTACTGAAACCTTCTGCTACTATGACTACATCCAGTTGTCTTCGATGATCAGTTCTCAACAGGTGTCTTTAATTGAGTAAGAAAGTGAGGTGGTGTACAAATGGACATGACAAACGTCACTCGGTATTTCGACCAGTACGAGTTTTTATCGAAGTAGAAATTAGGAGAACTATCCGGTCAAGTAATGAAGCCTCCGTTCAAAAACCGAAAAATTCACCAACACCGGTGCAACTCACTGGAGCAGCTGCAGAATCACTCTAGTGCCTAGAGAATGCCGCAGCCTCACCAACTGTACCTGGATCCTGTACTCGAGCTTTAGTGGTGCAATGGACGTCAATAGACAGAACACACAGTGTGCGCAATAGCGGCTTATTGCCTGATCTACCCAAAATTTAGCACATTATAGAGTGCCAGAAAAACAGAACAAGGCATGAAAACCGGATACGCAGCGATCGTTAGAATCCGGCGAGCAACGAAAGTGCCAAAAGTAGTACATGGTGTGGTGACGTATAATATGCAGCTTTTATTCCAATTTTCGCCCCGGTTGCGCGATAGAAGTTGTGGCGGATGAGGCTGCTCACATCGTGGGTACACAGAGAACTGGACATAACTAGAAATACGCAAAACAATGCACTCACTGGGCTGGTTGACCTTAATTCTGTGATTATTTTCCGTCTCTGATTCCTGGTGAATCGGCCACTCTGTTCAGTTCGAACGTCCGATGGACTCGCCGGCTCTCGTCTGGGATTAAGTTTGCGTGAAATGTCAACTCGGTCTTGTGTCACCCACTCATCCAATCTCCTGTCTCCTGGTTAACGAATTAAATACACTTTAGTGAACTGGCACATCTCACGGTTTTTGTAATGGACAAAATATTCCGTTTCTCCGTGTTCATTCACACGACCCTCGATGATGGTGGCTGGATCTGAAATTTTGAAATACATGTAAATCAAACGTGCAAACATGCTTACAATACTGTCCAGTGCTCCGAAGGACATAGAACACATCGTTGACCGCAATATGAGGGGCTTCTGGCGCATCCGTCATTCGTGGTTATTCACCAAAAAGGCTGTAAAAATGGTGGAATTGAGGACATTCAACACAATCAAATGGCTGTATCTGTTATTTTCCATTCTCCGATTTGGGAGGGGAAGGAAGGACTTAAAAAACATTAACTAAGAGAGCGAGACACTAAATGCCATGATGCAACGGATACCATTGCACTCAACAGAGCTGAACAAACGGGAGGATCAGTGCCAGTCAACCAGATTGTGGCTGCGCGTTCAAGTGATCATTCTTGAGGAGTTCTTGACACAAAAGATAAACGAGCAATGAATATGATCAAGGACTCCTTATACTGTCACCGATAACCATCATCAGTAACATCTACAAGTTCACTCCCATCGTCTCTCCATAACCGTCACTATCACAATTATCGAAAGTACTGAAAGCAATAGCCTTATGCAATGCTGAAAACAGTTATTCGTTTGTATAGCTCTGGCTAGTCGTCGGCGGTGGCCATTAAAAAAATGAACAAAATCTGCCCTCAATGCTGCCCGCATGCAATCTAGTATTTTTAGCACATATAAAATATTTATTTGAAATAAGTACACCGGATTGTCAACTTGAGATCGAGTCCTGGTTCATCAATGAACGAATGGAACTTATTGTCATTCCAAAGCTTGTTGATCTCCGCGGCCCATTAGGCTATGATGGAGGAGTGTCCCTGTGACATATGTAGCCCCTTATACCAGGTTGTCAATTGATTAGAGGTCTGACGAACACAGTCTCATGGCCCTCCACGTTGAGAGTTGGAACACGTATTGCGACCTGTTCCGTAAAAATTAGAATGCATTTGCATTTCCAGCAAAACACCGCTGCCTTGAGCCAAAGGTTTTGGTTGACGACCGCAGTCGTTCTCTTGCCTGGGTGTGGGCGCCTTGGCAGTACCCCAGCCCACGTACAACCATGAATTGCACACACGCAAATAAATTCATGCCAGCGCGTGGAGTCATCAGCCGGATCGTATTACTTGCTACACACGGAATGGCGAGTAAGTGAAAACAGGCTACTGCTGACGCCCCCTTCTTTCTCTTCTATACACTTTTTCTTCGCCCTCTCCCCACCCAATTAACAAATTTCCTCGTGTAGGCCCAGCAGTTAGGACTCGTTACTCTGTTCGTCCTGCATCAGTTTTGCAAGCAGCATCTAGGTGTCACCCGGTGCCTGCATCCTCAGACATTTCGAAACTAATCTTCAAGCCTTCACGCCCGGTCTATCTGACTGCATTCAGTGTTCGCATTGTGAAGCAACCAGGACGACGAGCTGTTCTTGCTCTTACACTGGACTCGCTTGATATTGATGTGTGCTGTGTATCAGAAACAAGAATTCAAAATGCCAGCACACTGGCTAAGCTAATCGCCTCATCAACCTCCACTCGCTTCCGACTGCGCACCTCTGGTGATCTAGGGTCCAGTGCGTCAGGATGTGAAAGGGTTGATATCATCCTAAGCCACCGGGCGGAAGGATTATTGCTTGACTGTATACCTGTTGATAGTCGCCTCTGTGCGGTTCATCTGGCAACGTCTGTGAAGGAGTCTCTCAAGCGGGAAGTTGATCGTTGTCTGTTTGTCATGTCATCCTACGCTTCAACTGACTGCAGCTCCGACACCATCAAAGACAAGTTTTATGACGCCTTGAATAGCTTTTTGCGGTAAGCCGAAAGCTCAGACACCGTGGTGGTTACTGGAGATCTGAAAGCACAAGTGGGCAGGCTTAGCACACCTGAGGCTGGATTAGGTGATCGACATGGATTGAACTCGATACATACGGACAATGGTGGACGGTTCCCTGGACTCTTTTACAATTGCCCCTCGGTCAGGTTCCAAATTATGCTGAAAAGACAGCTACATCTTTGCAGTGTTGGGAGTTTATACTGTGGCACGGCGCTACAAGGCCCATGCAAGCGACTAGATGTCAAACCGAACAATGGCACTGCTTAATTCCCGGAGAAATAACCCGACCGGTCCTGAACATTATTTGGTTCGACGAATCATCAAACGTCACATGAAAGTGAGCGTGCTTGTCGACCGTGAAGCTTGTTGTTTAGGAAAGCTGGTGGTACTGAAGAGGCCCAGATAGCCGGAAATGTTCGTGGATTGTTTCAATTGATCTGGGCCACCGAACCCGGCAACCACACGTGAGCGAAACCATCACGCACCAGATTGGAATTACTATCATGAATACTTCGTACAATGGCTCTTGTATCCACCATCTCTCACTCATTTGGAGCCTGCGGCTAACGTAGAACCCTGGACGGTAAACCTGGAACCTCCTACCACCTCGGATGTATGTAACTGCATGTGTTTTCTCAAGCATATAACATGTTCTTTGTTCTCCGGACGTGTGAGAGTATATTCTGAGCTCTCCGAAACCTCCCATATACACAACGGTGTCCGTCCGCGGTGCCCACTCTCTCAATTGCAACTTGATTTCATGATTGATGAAATAATAAGACGAATGCTGCAGATATTTAAAACTCCAGTGTTCAGATAGTCTCTGACGAAAACCTTGTCGATCTGAAATATGCAGATGATATCGTTTTCCTCTTCGAAGGGGGGAGGAAAGTACACTTGTTTTTTGGATGAACTAACCAATCATCTCGTCCTTTGGCATGCACTTTGCACACAAAGATTGAGGTCATTCTCGTGGATATGCAGTCACTGAACACTCAACTTACAATTCAGAGATAGACACTCGAAGTTGTCGAGCGTTCAGCAATCTTGGAAGCTGTATCAGCTCCGATTGTAGTATGGCAGATGAGGTCAATGCAAAGCTCGGGTCGCTAATTTGAGACACTCATGGCCTCAAAATGGTATATCCCTGAATCCCAAGGAACGTGCGTGTCAGATTACAGTGCAGGCTGTTTTGGTGTATGTTTGCCTACGGCCATGTATTTCGTATGCCAAACCACCGTTTGCGGAAGAGAGTGCTGTTTTCCGTGCGCAATTCAGAATGGCGGAAGCATAGAAGCGGCCAACGCCTGACCTGGCGGGGAGAGGGCTTATGAAAGAGATTGCGAAACTTTTGGTTGCTGTCGGTGCTACTCGCAGTCCAGGATGGGGATCACCTGATCCCAAATGCGCCTGGCCGGAGACGCTGCAAGATATGGCTGCCAGTATATGTGAGTGGCCCTCGTGTTGTCAGTTTCTCTCCAGATTGCCTGAATGGGTGTCTGGAGGTGTAGGCACCTCCGAATAATTGTGGTAAGCTAGCGCTAAGTCCCTTCCTCGGCCACTTTCATTCTTTCCTTCACAATAAGGTTTTCTAATAAATCATGGTTGTACGGCAGCGAACCATCACTGTTGAATACTGATGTCGTGCTGTCGATGATGATGGTGAAGTCCAGACATAGAACCCTTTCGGTGCCTAGTTACATGTCAACGGAAGGAGAGCTGGGATACTTCAAGGTTGCCCAAGGCCGGATAGAGGCAGCCGAAATGCCTAGGTTGGGTTCAAACCACGGGCATTCCGGTCCGTAAGCTGGCGACTTAGCCAGTGAGCTATCTCCAGCCCTGATGATGATGGCAGACACCAAAAGACGTGTGACAGTAGGATGAAGTCAAACCCATATTCGGCTCACATACCTAGACGCTTACCCATTATCGCGAACGGATGAAATTAGAGAAATTTCTTGCTATGTTGTGTTAAGCAACTTAGGCCTTTTAAGTGCTTACCATAAAGTTTCAATCAGTTCGAAAACAAACAATACACGGCTCTTGAAACATGCAGAGAACTGCTGGAATGTTCTCGCATCCTTTTCGGTGTAACCAATGGAGTCACGTAGTCGCAACGTACTGCTGACCATATACTCAAGTTTGAAAATTCAAATGAAATCTACGCTAATATTGGCAACGTCACTATTTTTGCGACTACCCAAATCGAGCAGCACCGTAACCTCAAATCTTTCCATGCAATAATGAAGAAATATGAAAGCACCCTAGCTGCAAGCAGTGCATCATAGCAGCCAAGCAGATATGCCATCTCTGCTATGAAGTCTCAGAAGGAGTTATCAAACCATATCCTGAATGAATGCGCCTCATTCGTCAACTCCCTCACTCACACGACGCGGTGCTACTCGCAGTCCAGGATGGGGATCACCTGATCCCAAATGCGCCTGGCCGGAGACGCTGCAAGATATGGCTGCCAGTATATGTGAGTGGCCCTCGTGTTGTCAGTTTCTCTCCAGATTGCCTGAATGGGTGTCTGGAGGTGTAGGCACCTCCGAATAATTGTGGTAAGCTAGCGCTAAGTCCCTTCCTCGGCCACTTTCATTCTTTCCTTCACAATAAGGTTTTCTAATAAATCATGGTTGTACGGCAGCGAACCATCACTGTTGAATACTGATGTCGTGCTGTCGATGATGATGGTGAAGTCCAGACATAGAACCCTTTCGGTGCCTAGTTACATGTCAACGGAAGGAGAGCTGGGATACTTCAAGGTTGCCCAAGGCCGGATAGAGGCAGCCGAAATGCCTAGGTTGGGTTCAAACCACGGGCATTCCGGTCCGTAAGCTGGCGACTTAGCCAGTGAGCTATCTCCAGCCCTGATGATGATGGCAGACACCAAAAGACGTGTGACAGTAGGATGAAGTCAAACCCATATTCGGCTCACATACCTAGACGCTTACCCATTATCGCGAACGGATGAAATTAGAGAAATTTCTTGCTATGTTGTGTTAAGCAACTTAGGCCTTTTAAGTGCTTACCATAAAGTTTCAATCAGTTCGAAAACAAACAATACACGGCTCTTGAAACATGCAGAGAACTGCTGGAATGTTCTCGCATCCTTTTCGGTGTAACCAATGGAGTCACGTAGTCGCAACGTACTGCTGACCATATACTCAAGTTTGAAAATTCAAATGAAATCTACGCTAATATTGGCAACGTCACTATTTTTGCGACTACCCAAATCGAGCAGCACCGTAACCTCAAATCTTTCCATGCAATAATGAAGAAATATGAAAGCACCCTAGCTGCAAGCAGTGC